GCTCAGTCACATTATTATGAATTTTTACAAGGCATGTGACAATACGATACGTGCGACATATTCGTAATGAGACTCATTTATAAATCTGCTGTCAACAAAAAGTAGCATTTAGGTCTTCCTGCACGTTTCCACCAAAATAAAAGTTGAGAAAAAGCAAGAACTCCATGACCATTCATAAATGTTAGTATTGTAATTTTACTGTTGTCCTGTAAAATCAAATAAAAAGACAATAATAATGATAATAATAATTTCAACAGCTCTGTTAATACATTTATTATAACATTCACAAATAGTGTTAGGATCTAAAAAATGTTCAGTGTTAAATATTTTTTAAATTGTTGTTTTGTAATAAATTTTTTCTTTGAAAAGTAAGGCAAAACAGTAAAAAGCACATTTTGGCTATTTACTTTATGCAATAGTGAAAAAAAATGGCAAAATACATGGGGGAAAAAACTCGAAAAACCGTTTTCGGTATTCGGCCTTCGGCCCAGTGTTTCATTTTGTTCGCTTTCGGCTTCGGCCAAGAATTTTCATTTCGGTGCATCCTTAATCTCCAGTGCCTTGTTTTTCGTCTTTTCATGTTACTAACTTTGTCTGATGTCCGATATATAAATAAATGGTCATTTTTAGTAGGATCTTTTTAATGAATCAATTTTCAATGATCTTTTGGGTCTCAAATTCTCATGCGTCATGCAATTCTCATATTTGAGTGAACTGTCCCTTTAAGATCTTGGCAAATAAATAAATAAACATGTACAGAAAGGACACACAAAACAGTAAAAAGCACATTTTGGCTATTTACTTTATGCAATAGTGAAAAAAAATGGCAAAATACATGGGGGAAAAAACTCGAAAAACCGTTTTCGGTATTCGGCCCAGTGTTTCATTTTGTTCGCTTTCGGCTTCGGCCAAGAATTTTCATTTCGGTGCATCCTTAATCTCCAGTGCCTTGTTTTTCGTCTTTTCATGTTACTAACTTTGTCTGATGTCCGATATATAAATAAATGGTCATTTTTAGTAGGATCTTTTTAATGAATCAATTTTCAATGATCTTTTGGGTCTCAAATTCTCATGCGTCATGCAATTCTCATATTTGAGTGAACTGTCCCTTTAAGATCTTGGCAAATAAATAAATAAACATGTACAGAAAGGACACAACTCATCAATCATGCCCCTGTGTCATGCTTGCTAAAGACTACTTTAAAGGTGGTCAATAATCTTTTCACCTACAGCCAACTTTATCAGATCCTGTCTGAGAGCTCTTCCTATTAGCCAGCATGGATTGGCAGGACATCTGCTGAACAAAGACTGTGAAAAGAGTCTCGCCCTGAACAAAACCTTGAGGCCTGAGGGTCACAAAGCATGAGGTGTCAGGCTGCAGTCGTGAAGGAAATGTGGTGGGGAATTATGGATTGGGCTGTCGTGATAACCACAATATTGAATATCACGATACTGACAAGCCAACCATGGAGTATGACAAGCAACCGTGATGTTCACTGTTTTTTCCATGAGGCTATGCCCTTCTTGTGTATTGAATGTTCAATAAGTTAATAATCAACAAGAGGGAAGAGAGTAATATTTTCACACCAAGTGGCTCTTTTTTACATCATTAAGAGTCTGTGTACCATTGTGATTTGTACATAGGTTCAGTAGATTTGCACTACACACACAGAGAGAGAGAATGTGTGATTACCCGCGTCTATCCTTCTTCAAGCTAAGTCATATAGTCGTGGGAATTCAGTTGTCAGATGATGAAAGCGATATCTTTGTCATAGCATCCTTTCAGTGTTTAAAGGGATTTTCCACGAGTCAGCACTGTTCAATGCATTGAATCAAAGGCACTGGTCTCTATGAAGTGAAATATCAACTTCAGCATTACCCAGGTAACGCGCTGATTGTCGATTGAGCCTTGTAAAGTGGTACTCAAAGTTAAATTAATTTCAACACCTTGTTTCATTAAATAAGATGTATTAGTTGATTTACTCGTGAAAACGATCCCTTGCTGCCAGCTCCTGGTGTAATAATGTAACTGTACTGACTGTACTGTACTGAGCCTGTGTAAAATGAGTGCAGAGACAAGTCCCTGTACTTATACTGACAAAATGTCAGCAACACTCTTGGAAGACCTCTTGTCCAGTTAGATTCGAGAATCGGAAATTACTAATATGCATATATTAAAGAACAGGTCATATGGGTTTATAGTGAGCTGCTAACGTACAAACCTAAAAAGCTAACTGTTCTCACGTCATGTACAGTGTAAGTCAAAAACACAATCGAAGGTCTACATTTCAGTGCCTCTCCATATTAAACTGGAGGTAAATTAATTTAATCTTACCCTGCGGTACATGAATCCTGGATATTGTCATCTGCGATCGTGACGACTGTAACATGAGGCTTCTCCCGCTTGCATTGTGATCCCTCACAATGCAAGTCCGAGTTCGCAACAGGAACTTGGGGGGGGGGGGTCTTACCGATAGGTCAATTCCCTCAATCTGGACTAAGTTACAGATGTTCTCTCACTTAAACAACTCTCAAAATAAAGTGCTCCGTGACCGGAAAGAGGTAGAAATAACAATCCACTGAAATTGAGAACTGTATATAACAAAACAGATGTCATTTCCCACTATGTTTATAACTGGTCATTTTTTTCCCTAAAGCCTGGCTCACACTATAGGATTTTTAGGCCGATTTCCCCCTCCCGAGAATCTGAGGAAAAATCTTGTCGAGCCCCTCGATCTATAGTGGAGACGGAGGAAACTGCTTCTTGACGTTTTATAGTAACAGACTGTCTGTATAATGTGTCGAAAATGTATCACAACTGTAAGGAGAAAGAGAAGCACTGGAGTGAAATCGTCAAAGTTTTGAATGTACCGGGTGAGTGTAGAAAGCAGCTAGCACACTAGCTAACATATGTAAACATCACTGAAATATCAATGACGATCCGCTGCGTGAGATCATGTGAGGTGCTCCCTCTGGCATGATAATCTTAATAATATCTTGTAGTGTGTGATGCACCACGATGTTAAAATCTTGTAGTGTGTGCATGTTTAAGATTTGAGGCAAGATAATCTGCAAAGATTCTCCTTCTGTGTGGGCTGCAACCAGATTTAATAATCGGTTAGGATTTTAAAACTCCTGTAGTGTGAGCCAGGCTTAACTCTATTAAATGTGTCCTCTTTCACATCAAATTCTTACATTTTTTCAATTAATTCAGTTAGAATAAAATTTTTTTTTTTACAGTTGTTACCATTTAAATGAAATCAGTATCAACAAACTCCATCTTTCCACTGCAGCGGAAACAGAATCTGCATCTTAACTGCCATTAGATGCATTTACACATACTGTTTGATGAAGCTGAGGTGCCATAAATGCATTTACACTGCAAAATTGCAAGTGCATAAATAATTTTATAAGATTAATGTTTTAAATAATTTTTCGAACATACAACTAAGAAATGTTGGGAGAAATGCAACGATACTTTTAAATATGAAACCAAACCACCAGTAGGTGATGGCAAATGAGCGTTGGTGGCAAATAAAAGTGTTTTAATGAGCGAGTCATTTAGTCATTCATTCAGCTGATTCATTTAAATGGACGAGGCAAGTGACTGTCTTTATGAATGGGTTACTGAATCATTGACTCAGTCCATTCCTTCAAAAATGTGGATTCATTCAGTAACCAAACAGTGCTGTATTGCTGGGAGACACATGGTTCTGCTGTGGCTTTGATTGGAACTATTTTCGTTTGCGAAATTGAGCAAAAAGAGTCAATGGTGTGTCTAAAATGTAAGTCACTTAATTTTAACTTCTTGTTTATTGAACTACTATTGTATAAAATCAGTGTCACTTTGCAATCGTGTTGATATTCGGGGAAACATCTTGGTCGTGTAATGTTGCTTACCTAAATCATATTTTATAAATATCTTTATCATATTTATAAATATTTATGTATCTGTAACTTTCTGTGAGTTACTTTGTGTGTGATGTTGTGCTCATTTTGTTTTGATTTCTGCACGTCTCTCTCTCTCAATCAGACAGGCTGCGCGAGCCTCATCTGGCATGACATCAATACATTATCAGTCGCCGTTTACACTGAATGAAATAAAATCCAAGTTTCAGTGCTTCCCTAGTTATTTTTGTTTTGGAGGTTTTAATCAGGCTTCTTGTCCGGTTGGGCATGTAAAATTCTCTCACTTGCCCCTTTAAAAAACCTACTTCCTGTGGTTCCCCACGGTTTACTTTGGGCCTACACATATTACAAATTGGGAACTTTGTGTCTTCTTCACTCACAGTGAAGAACTTCCACAATGACTACATATTTACATGCGGATATGAGCGTAGGTGTGATGTCAAAACAGCCTGGCTCGGAATTGTCAGACTGACTGGCCGGTCACCGGTCCGGGTCAATCATGTGGAAAAATGGCTAATTCCGGTCGCTGGCAGGTCGATCGTTGCATCTCTAGCGATATCACCACATATTGTGATATTGAGCCACTCAAAATCACCTCAAAGAGAAATTTCTTCACTGCAACAGACCTAATTATGGGGAGTGTGTGCAAGCAATAGAGACAGTAAGAGAAAGTGTTACCGTATTGGCCCGAATATAAGACGACCCTGATTATAAGACGACCCCCCCTTTTTCCAGATGTACCTTTTGGAAAAAGGCTTTTTAAAAACCAAATCTTGTTTTTTTCTCAGTAAAACACATTTTGTCTTCAATTATTTTCATATTGCATATTTTTCCTATTTAAATTTTTGTTTTGAGCTCCAACCCTAATTAAAACTCACCTGCCTGTAGCTTCCTAATAACCCTTCAGACCTTGATTAGCTTGTTCAGGTGTGTTTGATTAGGGTTGAAGCAAAACTCTGCAGGGCTGCGGCTCTCCAGGACCGACGTTCGCCACCCCTGGTCTAGACCCTGAATATAAGACGACCGCGTTTTTTCAGATGTATTTCCAAGAAAAAAATATCGTCTTATATTCGGGACAATATGGTACTTACTTGAAAATCATCATCCAGTGGCTCGTCGATCTGTAGGTCCAGCACTTCATCTTGATATTCATCACAATTCTGGTCTCCTGTGTATTCCACCTCTTCATCTTCTCCTTGGTACTCATCTCCCTCATACTCCTCACCCTGAGAGAAACCCGGTTGGCCCCCCTCTGTCTCTTCATAGGTGTATTCAGTGTATCCACCTCCATCAGGGTCTTCATCTTGAAGGTGCCCAGACATGCCCAGACCCAGTGTGGCATTTAAACTCACAACGTCACCCTGACCACTGGATCACAGACACAAAGACATCAACAGACAAGCATGTGTTAAGCTCTGGACAATAAAGTGATGAATTTGTAGATTTTTGTTGTACTTGCCCTTCCGTTACCACAATTACTATATTAGAGTCTGAAGTGAAGCATGTCACCTAAAATTGTTATTTTAAACAACTCTTTTTTTTTTTAAAGTTATTATTATTGCGAAAAAAGAAAGCTGTTTGATTAAGGCAGGTGTCAAAGTTAGTTCAATGTCATCTCTAATTATGTTATGGATGAACTATTGATTTTAGAGCAAGCATAAATTGATTTTAGAAGCGTTACATAAATTATGGGGTGAAGGCAATTTTGACCCTACAAATTGAAAAGTGAACAGTTTGGGTAATGTGATATTTTATATTCATTTTAAGCTTACATTTTTCTGTGCAACAACGATAAAAAGCAAAAAAGGCAAAAAAAATACTTTTAATACAGACTATTTTGGGATACTGCAGACTATTTTGACATTCATAATCATAAAAAGTATCTCATCTTCAGATTTAGCAAGCAGTACCGTCAACTGTATTAACTTAAAACAATTGCAATTTTAACATATTAGAAGATTCACAATTAGTAATTTGACAATTAACCCAAAAGAAAAGAACATTTTGAACGTTTACACTGATATGAGTGCCATATTGGTCTTCTAAAACATATAATTTTAATCCACATTAGTCAGGGCATTTTCAGGAATTTTCATTCATGTCTCTTGTCTAAATCACCCAATAGTTTATGTTTTTCAATAAAAGAAGTGACCAAAAACAGCAATACAAGATAACTTAGAGATTTTGAAATGTCTACACTCTAAAAAAATGCTGGGTTATTTTTTATACCCAACTGCTGGGTTGAGCCTGTTGGGTCATATGTTGGGTTGTTTTTTTCCAGTGCTGGTAGTTTTTGTGTTGCCCAGCCATTGGGTTAGTGGCTGGGTCAATCACACTGACCGTTGAAACTATACACCCCTCCCTCTCACTCCGACAAAACGTCTCAGCAGCTGTTGTTTTGCATGATGGAAACGCTTTGCCTTGCATAACTGATTTTATTCATCATAATACTGAATTTAATTTATTTTTAATGTTAAAATAATCTCAGTACTGCTTGTTTATGGGCAGGTTATGGAGTCAGTCACAGCATCTTTCAGTTATGAGTGAAACGCGAGGCGGCAGTCTGAGGTTTGCAGTTCCCCAGCCGAAAAGCAGCCCATCACTGGCTCAGATTTTGGTGACACACAGGCACGAGAATCAGCACTATTTTGGTTAAAAGGGATAACAGAGAATGGTTGAATACACTTGAATTAAAATGTTATATTTTTTATTTCTAAAATGCTTGTTAAACGAGTTTAAATGTATGTAATTTTGTAAACTAGGCTTTATTCACCCAAATAAATTCAATTTGTCTTTTTTTTTCCATGGGTGTTCTTGCTTATTAATAAATGTTCATCTTTCGATTATTGCTGTTGCCTCTAGTAATTCTTTGTGTAATTTTTTATTTTCCAGCAAAAGTTTGCCTTTTTTTTTTTTTTTTTTTAGAGTTTAGGGTTTTATTTGTAGGCTTTGTTAGGATACCTTGCATTTTGGTCTTCTTCATCACTTTGTAACAGGTCATCATTTAGCTCCTCATCTGACAGCTCTGAGGGGTTCTGGGGTGGACAAAAAATAAATAAATAATCTTCTGCTTAATATGATTGATATTTTGGTGAAATTGTTACATATGTTGTTGGCCTCATAAGTCTTGAACATTAAGTACACCTGCTGGGAATATTTTATGTATTTCTATCAGTTAAGATTGCTTAAAAGCACTGAAAAAGGCTGCAACTGAAAAATAAGTTTAAGTAGAGAAGAAACTGGCAATGATGGAAATCACTTTACCTTTTTTGATGACAGCCAATCTTCTTCAAGTAAGTCTCCCTCCTCCAAATCACTGTGAATTGATAAATTTATGATTAAAAAATATGGTGCTTTCACTATAAATCTTTGAAATGCCTTACACCATTTCAGTAGAGCAAAGCAAGATATTAAAGCAACAACTTCATTTGCTTTGCAAAAACCACACCCCACGGCAACCAATAGACTTCATATCTATGCTGGTGAGATTTATTTTGAATGCCATGAAAGACTTTTGCTGAAATGCTATGAGTGCTTCTGGGAAACTGATGTTCTCTTTATTATTTTTTTTTTTTTCATTCTGCTTAATAGAGACATAAAATCTAATCCAGTAATGAGACAGTGAAGACTTACCTTTCCAAGTCATCATCTTCTCCTCTCCGTCTTCTTGACCTTTCAGCACCAGGCTTATCATATTCATCAAACTCATCATCTACATGCAGACAAGAGAACGAAACACATTCGTCTTACATTATTACATTTATATAAAATTATACTTTATGTGTCATGTTTAAATAATTGTATATGCTCAGCCCTAGTCTGCAAAGCCAAGATTTTGTGCTTGAGATGTTCAGGTTCAAGATTCTGAAGCGCCACAATTTCTCTTTTCTCAAATTTACTAGTCTTTGAAGAATATCTCTAATCTTAAAGGGGTCATATGATGGGATTTCAAGTTTTCCTTTCTCTTTGGAGTGTTACAAGCTGATTGTGCATAGATAAGATCCCTGAAGTTGCAAAGACTAAAGTCTCAAAACTAAAGAGATATTCTTTATCAAAGTTAAGACTCTGCCACGCCCCCCTAAAACGGCTCATTCTAACACGCCACTGATGGTAAAACTAATGACATTATTTACTGTCTTTACGTTTATTTTGAAAGATGAAGCTCGCGTTTATGGTAAGGGGCGTTACATTTCCGACGCGTGCTTGTTGTGTTCGGCCAATCACAATGCACTGGTTCAGCTGGCCAATCAGAGCAGACTGCATTTGTCGGAAGGAGGGACTTTGTAGAAAACGAAGCGTTTGAGAGAGGCGGCGCATAGAGGACCTACAATAATGTACAGTATTTGAAAAATAATGTGTTTTTTGAACATTAAAGCATGTCAACATATTCTGTTACACCAAATACACAAAATAATGATCTTTTAAAAAGCATCATATGACCCCTTTAAGGGGACGGTTTATCCAAAATCGAAACATTCAGCGATCATTTGCTTGCCCTCATGTCATTCCAAAACTGTATGGCTTTCTTCTGCACAAAAGAAGATATTTTGAGGAATGCTGGGAACCAAACAGTCCGCTGACCACTTAACCCCATTATATAAATGAAAAACAAAGAGAAACTTCTTCAAATATCTTCTTTTATGTTTCACAGAAGAAAGTAAGTCACATAGGTTTGGAATGGCATGAGGGCGAGTAATTAACCAGTACAAATGTTATTTGGAAGAAGCCACTGGAAGACTGTATCAAGTGCAGTTCTTGTGATATTTACTTTCTAAGCCTTTCAACTACCAATTTACAACATTATGTTCACTGGGAAGCACGTTTCCATTAGCACGTAATCTAAATCAAATACTGAACTTGAAAATAGCATTAAAATCTGATCTGCCTCCGTGCAGTTGACAGTGATGCACTGTACGATTGACAGGTTGAAGGGCTTTACAGGAACTGGTCTCTGTAATAAACCACTACAACACACACTTGACATAACATCACGCCTACATTTAACACACAAAAACGTACTTGATACTACGGGGTGACAAAACAGCCCCGTATTGATTTAGATAGAGATCTTCTCGAAACACATGATTTGTATCTCTGGCCTGGATAAAACAAGTCTTGCCGTCTGTCGAGGCAGCGGTACAGATGCTTACATAACCATACAGCCCCAACCTCATGTCCACACGCGACAATTCTTCATCCGCCATTTAAATGTCAAAATCACTATCCGTGCATAAATCATTCGTTGCATTTTGTGTATAAATGTATATGTGTTCAGCTTCACCTTCAGCTAGCTAGTTAGCAACCGCAAATGAGTAAATATGTAAATGCACGCCTGCTAATGACTCACGACCATCAATATGGCACACCATAGAAATAAAAAAATATAGTCGTGGCATAAAAGTAAACTCTGTTCAATCTGCAAACCAACAGCAGATGTCAGAAGCTCAGCAAATCATGAAACAAAAGCAGCTAACTCGTTAGCACTAAGTTAGCTGGGAGCTAAACTAAGTGTAAATTAATACTACATATCATACCCCCGGCACTGGTCGCCATAATCCAAGATTGAATGTTATCTTGGAGACTCTTGTATCTCTACAACGTCGATGAGTGCATTGAAACTGGTTTAAGTGCAGCGCTTCAGGCCGTTAGCTTCGCGTGCAATCTCCTCAGTCTGAGCTCTGAAAACATCTGCACAAGAATCATGGCGACAGGCTGAGCCGCGCTGCATCATGGGTATGAAACCGCAAGGAGGGATGTGAGGGAAGTGCGTAACTGTAGCTTTACTGCATAATCTAATAAAGGTGAAAGTTAGACAGACATCAGTTTGGCGTGACAGAAATTTGGTTTTAAATTTTAATATGCGTATCTGTTTCCACCTTAAAGCCGACCAATTTAATTTTATTTGTATAGCGCAATTTAGCCTACAATAAGTGAATTATTCGGAAATGCATTCTCCCTTAACATTCTCCATCAGTGCTTGGCTTGTTGATTAATGGTTGTTTAGGGGGTCAGAGTGAAGATTTAGGTCTAGGTTATAGATACAGTAGACTGAGATGATGACTGTGACAAGTAAGATCAAGTAGCAGCTGTTTGTAGAAGTTGCAGACATTTTTCTTACTGGATAGTGGTTAATGCAATTTTATGGAAGTTGCAACATACATTTTCATAACATTATTTCAAGCTTTCTAATTTAAACAAACCATTTAACAGAAACACTTTGAGGTAATTGTATTTTTAGGCTAAGTGTAGCCTATTTACAGAACATGTGTGTTGTGCAAGTAATTGTATTTAACAGTAGCTGCATTTAATTTATTTTTTTCCCAGTAAAGTGGGGATTAATTTTTCACTGATTTCATTGTTTTATTTATTTTCTATAAATAACCATCACAGTGGCAGAATCATGTTTTTGTTGTCAATAATCTATGACTAGAGCATTGTACATGTGATTTTTAAGTATGTCAAATTGATTTCTGAAATCAATTTTACAAGTTGGAGTTTGGGAAGAATTAACTTTTAAAAAGTCAATTTTGTAAGTGATGAGTCTCATCACCAATGTTTTAAAAGCTCAAGTTACACCATCATATCACTATAACTGATATTGAACTGATATTTATAACTGAAAATTATCATTAAGCTAAAAGTTTTTTTTTATTTTATATACATATGTTTCATAAATGTGAGGTTAGGGCACATTTAAAAAGTTCTATCATAATTCAAATCTGTCTTATATTATAATAAATTTAGTGAATTTTAAAATACCTTTATCGTCATATTTTTTTAGCCGTTTCGGTTAATAAGTGACAGACAAAATCAACTATATCATGAAGGAAAAATTATTATAACTACAATTGATATTTATAACTGAAAATGATTATTAAGCTAAAAGTTGTATAAGTTTTAATAAAGTTGTTTTTTTCGTTTTTTAAATATGTTTCATAAATGTGAGGTTAGGGCATGAGGTTTATATTGGGACATGTTGTTAGATTGTAAGTGATGAGTCTCACCAATGTTTTAAAAGCTCAAGTTACACCATCATAGCCTAATTAAAAAAAAAAAAGACAAAGAAAAAAGTTGCATAATACATAGGCTACCCCAACATTTTTGTAATCATTAGCACTTAGTGGAATAATTAGATTCAGTTTTGGCTTTAGTTTCAGCAGTTGAAATCTGTAAAAATTGTTCTTTCATATTAGGATCAAAGAATAAAGTGTTTAATAAACACAAATCATTTTATCAGATCTTTGATTGTAGTGTTGTAGCCTACTACTTCATGTTAGCTACCAATCCAAATTCTGTTAATTGGCTTAAGAACCAAAAATGATTACACCAAGCACATGTTTAATCATATAGCCTAGCTATTTATTTGAAATGCCAACGTCCTATTATTCTTTTATAATAAACTATTTATATTTTTAGTTTATGGTTTTAATTTCTCTTGAAATATAATTAATACAAGCACCTCAAATTGGATGGATCAGCAAGTAGCCTACACTCTTTTTTTATTTAATATGTTATCCTTTGGTGATGCAATCCAGGCAACTGTTTAAAGCTACGGTCGCGCGCAGAGTAAACAAATATTATGCCGTTTGCTTCTCTCTTGCGACTCAAGAGTTTATCCATATCAGCAAGCGTTATAATGATAAATCTGATTCATCCTCACCTCCAATCATATTTCTTTGACTGCGTTTCCGAAAGATTATTTTCCCACTGCATCCATCCGGAGAGTCATTCAGAGGTTATAATTTTTGGGGGGCTGTTGTTATTGGATATTATGCTCCAATTCGTGACGCCATTGGTCTGGTGCTTGTCAGTCTGTGGCGCGCCGACGCTCGTAGCGCGCTGCGCAGACAGTGCACGACGCGCGAGTGGCCAGAGAGTGTCTGGAGTCTGTCTGAAACTGATAAAAATGGTGATGGAGTTCATCCAGAGTCTCGCTCATAGTCATTAGAAAAACAAAGGGAGACAGGGCGGAATTTTACAATCATTCAACACTGTAGTTATTTCGTAGCTTGAAAACTACATTCTATTGTAGCGAATTTCAAAGTTTTATTCCATGACAGTTCATTAATTCACAGGTAAGCGGATCGTGGTGGGGCGCAAATCTTTTTGTCTAATACAGTCTGCCGTTGTTATGGTGATTGTGTTGTTTATGAATATATTAGGCTACTGTGTGCGATGTTGCTTAATCATAGTAAACATGACGGCGCATGTAAACCGCTGATCGGCTGCAGGGTGCTCATTTTAATGTGATTACATGTATGCGCATGTCGTTGGGCGAGATGAAGAAAGAGTTTATCGCGATCATTTCTTCAGACAGATGACGCACCTGTGCTCACGTGAGCCCGGTTTCTCATTAACCTCATGAACTCCTGATGCCAAAACACCGTGCTGCAGTGTGAATATCAGCGTGTCTGGATGCTATACAGCACGGTAGAAGCATGCAGCCATGCGCCAAGTCTGCTGCTCTTTATCCGCAATTTAAGGCCCGTCTTTGCGCGTGAGATTTTCGCTTGCGGTGGATGACTGCGTTGTAGCCTAATTCACCATGGTTTAGCTGTTTTTCTAGTAAAAAAAAAAAAAGTTAGATTTTAGGTAAGGGCACAGTACGTAGACTTCAAAGGCATTTGGCAAAACTACTGAGAAAAAAAGAAACCACCAAATGGTCCTTACGCGTTTCGGTGTTTGTAATCATACGGTGGCGCGAACTTGTTTTCAAGTCATGATGTCTCCGGTCACAGCTCGCAACTGGTGTCAGTGCAGTTCTGTTGCGCTCTTGGATGGTCTCGTCCATAAGTGGTTTGTTCCCCAATAGCTAGTACAGTAAAGCATTAAAATGCTTTGACTTAGCCAATTAAAATGTATCATAAGTTCCCAAATGAGTTATTAAATAGGCTACAACTAGTTTATTTTATTCATCCGACAAAAATATACGGAAGACGGTGGCTAGTTGGAGCAAAGATGAGAGTTAAATTACTAAAAGTTCTATCATAATTCAAAACTGTCATATTACAATAATTTTAGTGAATTTTAAAATACCGTTATCGTCATATTTTTGAGCCGTTGGGTTAATAAGTGACAGACAAAATCAACTATATCATGAAGGAAAAATTATAGCCTAACTATAACTGATATTTATAACTGACAAATGATTATTCAGCTGACAGTTTTTGTTTTATATGTTCCATAAATGTGAGGTTAGGGCATAAGGTTTATATTGTGGCATGTTGTTACATTGTGGAAAATATTGCAAATATATGCTATTTATAAATTGCAATATTGTCGCTCAGAACAATGGTTTAAGGTCATTGTACAATAACATTTACATGTTTGCGGTTTCATTCTTATTTGTTTCATAATCATTTTAATTTAGCAGAACAGTCATACAAGGCTGTTCAATGGCCCCTTATACTGTAATGTGACAACATGCCCTACCACAAAAGGTCAATGTGTGTTCAATAAACTGTCTTTTTTCATCGGCAAGTAATGGTAAAACAGTAGCTTTTTTGTATTGCCAAGACTTTAAGGTATGTGCCGAAACATCAGTTGACTGCAGAAAATACTGAGCAATATTCACTGGAGTAAAACTTATAACAACTAGTCCTGGTTCCCCTTTATACCTTATTTATTATGTAATGAAAGCATTTATTATGACGCATTTCCTCAATAGGTTATTTTTATTGTATTTTTGTTGTACTATTTTTTTCCTTGCTGTATTTAAAAGATACCAATTGATCCTTACATTATATTGTCTTTAGATTAGAGTCACGAATGTTAATCAAAATGCAGTGCACTCTGTCAGGATTCATCTATGGTGTGCAGATCAAAACGTTTCAGATTTAGTATGGGCTTCCGTTTCAGATTTGTTGTTTCTTAACTTATCTTTACCTTTACGTTTATCTTTCGATCTGAAGTTGTCGAGTGTTGGGTCTGGTTTCTTCCCCTTAAATTGTTGTAAATCATCCTTTTTTGACCTGTTGTATGTTTGTATTATTCCAGATTAGAAAAGGCACCATGAATCTGTTGCCCATGTGGCTTGGCTTTGCATGCTCATGCATTATAGTTCTAAAGCAGACAGAGACATCTCTCTTTGATATTGATATCAAATAAGCAGTCATAGGACTCAGCTTTTCAGTCATATGCAAAACAAGATGGCTGCTTCACAGGAGGCACAAGGCTATCATTGGTAAATATAGTGGTCCCTTCATATTATGTTGAGTCAGTGTAAAGTGTCTTAGTGAAAGAAATTGGGACACAGCACACACAGGATGGTATCATGCCCTGACCCAGAGGGGCTGTGCAATAAAAACAAGAAAAAAAACAATAACATCTAAGCAAATAAATGCTACAAGTTACAATAATTGAATAGACTTAAACGTAGACTTAAAAAAACCCTTGTCTCATTTTCATAGCTGCAGATATGTAATTATAATTAAGTACATGATCTAAACACAAGGATGTAACAAATAAAAAATATATAATTTTTGAAGGTCACACAAGGTTATGGTGTGAATTTATTTTGTAATTCATATTGTAGCGGTAGATGGCCTCTAGGTTTGATAAGTTGTTTATGTATAACGTAATCATTAAAATGAATACGCATTATGACACACAAAAATGTATGTTTAAAATATTAAGAATTAGTTTAGCTATATCCATAAGTAATGTGTTATGATTAACAGAGCGCAAGAGCTCCATTCAAACAAAAAC